ACAACAGCAGCAACAACAGCAACAGCAACAACAGCAGCAGCAACAACAGTAGCGACAACAACAATACCAACAACAGCAGCAGCATATTCAATGACCCACATGATGATTCACCTTATCTTCTGGTTCTTGACATACTCCTTGTCAGATAGCTTATCTTCCCAGGGTAGTCTTCCACACAACCATTGTAACATAACGTAACCGAGAATTTCTAAATCTGATCTTCTTGATGGAGCTAGAAAAAAATGTTTACAAAAAAAATTAGTTTGCAAAAATACACAAGAAATGGAAATAGTTTAACTAAAAATGGTTACAAATCTTCATTAATTCATTTTCATTCATTCACTCATTCATTCATCCATTCTTTCTTCTTCATTCCTTTCCTTCTTTTTTTTTTTCATTCCTTCCTTATTGCTTTACTTCTTCTTTATCCTCATTCTCTTTTTTTCTGTTTTCTTTTATTCATTCATTGTTTTTATATATATATTTCTCTATTCCACCAGCGTTTATAAAAATCTTAGTGACTTTAAAAGAGGACCAACCAACTCCTTTATGTGCTTCTATGCTGGCAAATTCCACTGTGCCGTCATGTTTTCTCTTTGGATCTTCTTTGTACTCCTTGTGCTCTCCATTTGGATTGAACCTGAATGTCAGTCCATAATCGAGCAAATAGACCTAAAACATTTAATCATTAAATGACGGGGTATCAATCAGTTGAATGAATCTCATTATCAGCAATCTATGACGTCAAATGCTGTCTCTCACATTCAAGCATCCAAATAGTTTTCTAAAGGTTGCTTTCAATCAGCTGAATCGATCACTAGTATCTCATAAACACCCAGAAAAGGGCAACCACTGCCCTCATGCTCCCTTGCCAGCACAATGTACTGAAAGAATGACATTTAAGAAAGGCACTAGCTATTCACCTGATCCTTCTTGCCCTTGGAGTATCCCATCATCAGATTGGACCCTTTGATGTCTGCATGTGCATATTCATTTTCATGGATATATTCTAGAATATCAAGCTTACAAAGAAAAATGTACCTTTAGAATGCACCAATTCAAACACAGACATTTACGATTTTTAGCAATTTGTGTTTGTTCCATACTGCATATCAAAAGAAAGTATTTAGCTTGTCTGACATAGTAACAGTGACAGGGGAGCTAGGTAGAAAACATTGCTTGGTGCATCCCTTCACCAACTCTTTGCTTCTCTTTATGTGAAATCATAGTTTGCAGGAAATCCACAAACAGATTTGGGTAAGAACAAAAGTTTTATATATTCTTAGGGTTGAAAAAGATCACTTACGATTCTTAACCCCAGCATCAAGACAGTCCTGACGTCAAACCGACGGTTGTGATGCTGAAATATTTGATCAACATCTTGGTCATACCTCTCCATTACTAAAAACCTCATCTTGGCATTGTCATGTTCCACTGCACCTGAACCAAGGTACAAAAGAACGCCAAGATGCTTTAGTTTTTTCGTCTTCATCCAACTACTGACTGCAAAGAAATTAAAACAAAACATTCTAAGAAAATAGATAAGTGGGAAATAAATGAATGAAGTAAAAAAGAATGATGGTTGGATGGATGGATGGATGGATGGATGGATGGATGGATGGATGGATGGATTCCTCCAATAGCTGATCGTCCTGTGACTTTAAAGCATCACAAACTAAATACCAAAATACTCACTGTTGTCAGGCTTTGCTACTCTTTGATAAAATGCCAGTTCAGTAAAGAGTGGGCCATTTGCATGAGGCTCCTAGTGTTAATCAGTGATTAAAAATGACAATCTTTTATAGCAAATGTATTATATATATTATATCTTTAAATTTTAAAGATATAATACATATAATTATATTTTAATATTGTCTTACTGTGAAGCACATCGAGGCTCAGGATGCGCTATATAAATACTCTTTTATTATTAGTAGTAGTAATAGTAGATGACTTTCCAGGCAACCTCTAATTTTGGGGTTCCTGTGTAATTATACAAGAGAAGAGCATATGACCTGAGAAGACATAAAAGAAGGGAGCGAGAGGGAGGGAGATAAGGAAGAGAGTAAGGGAACTCATGCACTCCCCATCTCTCTTTCTTCCCTCTCAATCTCTCTTTCTGCTTGTCTCATTTCTCCTTCTTCCACCACAGGACTTCCATAAGATGGCAAAGCATGCAAGTATGGCCCTTGAGTCACTTACAATCTTAATGACATTCTCAGCATCCTCGCCTACTGGTTCACCACAATCTGGACTTGCTGAAATATCAAATTTTATTAAATCAATATTTAAATTATACTTAGAACCAAGTGAATTTGGTAAGTCTTACCTAAATACAGTGCACCAAATCCTCCCCATCCAATCAATTTTCCAAGCTTCCATTTTTTCTTGGTGAGGTCTGTGAGTACCGTCCCAGAAGGTACTTCTACCATGCCTTTAGGACGCCGTGGCTTCATAGAAGCAGCCGACTTGGGTCTCTTGGAATCTGCTTCTCCTTTGGACTTAGCCTGACTAGTCGCTTTGCGCTTTCCTCTTGAACTCATTTGAAAACTCTTTCACTCCACGGATTAAAACTCTTATTCCTTGGCTTATGAATAAAAACTAAGGAYCTGTATTCCAGTGTCTTGTATACTGATAATTTTATGGATGATTTATAGTCTCTTAGCTTTTTGTTCTTCTGATTCCGAAAGTAAAACCAGTAATCGATTGATTGCATTAATGTATTTTCCCGCCATTTCCTATGACCATATCAATCTCGTACCCAGAGCCCTTTTTTTAGATGCGATGATATGTTGTCTTTGTACAGCCAAGGTCCTCCTTACATGAAGCAAACACCTCCTCATTTCTTTCGAACATCTGGAGAGCTTTCTCCCTCTGAAGTTCCGTCCCGGGGAAATGTTCCAGGGTRATCCCGTGAGGGGGTGTCTGTATCCTTTGCCAACGTACTTTGCCCACAGCTTCCCATTGGGGTGGCATCTGAGGGCCAGCACTAAGGTTACAGCACACTGTCACCATGTTATTCTCGTGTAGGAACTCCAACTGCTCTCCTCTCTTGACCATCTCTCCCTCTCGCACAATTCCAATCCGCGTCCTCGGCTTTAGCCATATGTTCTTTGCCGTCTGGTTGGCAACTCTGACATAGTAACACGTCTTGGTAGTATCCACGAGAGTACTGGCCACGGTGAGGTTTCCTTCTACTGGTACACCAAGGGGTTCGATCACAGCATCAGTGCCCCATGATGGGCCTGTGACCAAGAYATCAGATTCTGTGAAAGCAGGGACCCAGACTTTGTCTGAGCCGGCTACTTTCACGAACCCAGTTTTACGCTTATTCTTCTTCTCTTCATCTTGCAGGATCTGTTGGTATTGGGGCACCTGCCCAAGAACGTTGGTTCCCAGTAGGCCAGGTACCCTCCTCTGCATTACTGTAGTGGCTGCTGTGTCCTTCGTGATGAAGATGCCGCACCCAGGGACCACCACTCCTCCGATCTCTACTGTAGCGACGATATATCCAATGTGAGGGATGTCCAAACCGTTAGCTCCTCGCAGCTGCAGTAATCTTGTTTCAGGGTGTAGGTCTCCTAGGGTTGGCTGTAGCTTTTCCCTGTAGAACGACTCGGTGATGAGGGTAACCATGGAGCCCGTATCCCCTCAAGTAAGCCAAGCACCTCAAGTAAGTGAAGCACCTGAAATAAACCAAGCACCTCAAGTAAAC